CTATTTTCAGGGGCTCAAATATAATTAGACAAATGAATATAATAATAAATAAAATGTAATTTTTAATATTTTGTTGAGAATCCTTTACTGGCAATGACTGCCTGAAGTCTGGAACCCATGGACATTACCAAAGACTGGGTTTCCTCCTTTCTGATGCTTTGCCAGGCTCTAACTACAGCTGTTTTCAGTTGTTCTTTGTTTGTGGGTCTTTTTGCTTTTAGCTTTGCCTTCAGCAAGTGAAATGCATGCTCAATTAGGTTGAGATCAGGTGATTGACTCGGTCATTGCAGAATATTCCACTTCTTTTCCTTCAAAAGCTCCTGGGTTGCTTTTGCAGTGTGTTTTGGATCACTGTCCATCTGTACTGTGAAGCGCTGTCCAATCAACTTTGCTGCAGAATTCATCCAGTTGCTTCTGTCTTCTGTCACATCATCAATAAACACCAATGACCCAGTGCCCCTGCAAGCCATGCATGCCCATGCCATTCCACTGCCTCCACCATGTTTTACAGATGACGTTGTGTGCTTTGGATCATGAGCTGTTCCAAGCCTTCTCCACATTTTTTTTCTTCCCTTCATTCTGGTACAGATTAATCTTAGTTTCTTCCATCCAAAGAATGCTTTTCCAGAACTGGTCCGGCTTTTTTAGATTTTTTTTTGGCAAAGTCTATTCTGGCTTTTCTATTCTTCAGGCTTATGAATGGTTTGCACCTTGTGGTGAACCCTCTGTATTTGCTCTCATAAAATCTTCTCTTGATTGTAGACTTTGACAATGATACGCCCACCTCCTGGAGAATGTCCTTCACTTGTCTGGATGTTGTCAATGGGTTTTTCTTTACCATAAAGAGGATCCTGCAACCATCCACCACTGTTGTCTTCCTAGGACGTCCATGCCTTTCCAATTGCCATGTCCAATTACTTTTGGTCCCTTGGAAAAGGCGGGGATGGCTACTCTTAAGCAGGCCATAGACGGGTCGAATATCAGCCGATTTAAAAAAAAAAAAAAAAAAAAACGGTCGTTCGATCGGCCGACGTTACCACAAACGTTAAAAAAATCGGCCGATTTTCTACCTGTCTATGGCCAGCATTAGACAGAGACAGGGGAGCACACCATACAATGTGACAGCAATACAAATAAATTATTTGGATTACAATGTTTTTGTTTTTATTTGGATACAGATGTTTTTATTTGGATACAAATGGATACATTTGTTGCGACTTCATATAAAATATAATAGCGGACTGGACTTCCAGTTCGTAGGAAGGATTCAGGTGTCTCCCATTCCTCCTCCTCGCTCATGCGCAGATTTTTTTATCGGTAAAACGATTGGCCGATTTGCCCATCATTGCCAGGAAAATCGGCCTCTTCTTCCTCCCAGGTCATGGCTCATGCACAAATGTTTTTATCGGGAAAATCGGCCCCGCGAATTTTCCAACATGACCGATAAAAAAAATGTGCAAAAACCCCCAAAAATTGCCAACCAATTATCCCACTAACGGTGCAAAAATCGGCTGATTTTTTTTTTTCGACCGAAAAATTGGGCGATTTTAGACCCGTCTATGGCCTACATTAAGAGCTGTAATTCCTAAACCCTTCCTCCAATTTGGATGTACATGCCCTCAAATTAAACTTGACAGTGTGCACTTTCAGTCCATAAACATTATATAACTATAGCTGGTATATGTTTTGCTAAATACCTGAAAAATAAATTAAAATTGTGCCTGTGTCCAAATTTATATGGCGCTAACTGTAAGTCCTTCCAGGGGCACTGCATGTTCCCCACTTTATAAGTTCGAAATGGAAATGTGATGTCAAAGTGAAAATAGTCTGAAGAAAAAGTTTAAATAATTTGTTCATGTATGTCATTTTATATTGATACGTCCATACAGATATTAAAAAGCCATAGCAAATCATGTGACCGCGGTGGGGGCCAGTACTGTCTGGTTCCACAGTGTTTTATGCAGGTAGCACTAGCAGTTGGTTAACATGAACGCTGCTGCCAGACTCATCCACCTCACTAGCCGTTCTGTATCCGCCACCCCTCTCTGCTAATCCCTCCACTGGCTCCCAGTTGCCCAATGGATAAAATTCAAAACACTAACTATGACATACAAAGCCATCCACAACACTGCCCCAATTTACATATCCAATCTTATTTCTAAATATCACCCTAACTGTACACTTAGCTCCTTGCAAGACCTCCTACTCTCTAGCTCCCTTATCTCCTCCTCCCATGCTCGTCTCCAAGACTTCTCCAGGGCGTCACCCATCCTCTGGAACTCCCTACCCCAATCTATCTAACTATCACCTACTCTACTTACCTATCACTGAAAACCTATCTCTTCAGGGAAGCCTTTTCCACCCTCTGCTTATACTGGAATCCTCTACTCTTCCAACCACTCTATCTCCCACAGTTTTTACCTATTGTACCATTCACCCCTCCCTCCTAGATTGTAAGCTCCAAGGAGCAGGGCCCTTAATTCCCTCTTGTATTGAACTGTAATTCCCTCTTGTATTGAACTGTATTGTTGCTGTATTGTCTCCCACTATAATGTAAAGCGCTGAGCAAACCGTTGGCACTGTATAAATCCTGTATAATAATAATAATAATAACAATAACATTAAAGTAGAACTAAAGAACTTTTTCATTTTGGATAAAGTAAGGTAGCCTTATAACTGCATACGTTTTTTTCTAGTAAATAACCAGCCATATCCTGAGGATAATTGTACAGTGGTACATCCCATAAACAATTATCCAAACCATTTTTAGGAACTGACCGACTTAATAAAAAAAGGGGACTTTAAAGGCTCTGTACCAGAAGCAATAACACAACAAACAGGAAGCCTCTAAAAGCCTCCTTTTTTGATGTTATCGATTAGTTCCTAAAAATGGTTTGTGTGAAGTTTTTTTTGCCATCTGTGTCTCATTGGGGACATTTCCCTTCACTTCCCTCTACTTAGTCATTACAGGAAATGAGAGAAAAACTCTCTAAAGTAAGGAAAGCCCTATCTGTCACCAGGGCTACCAGAACTAGTGTTCCCAATGGAATATTTCTTCTCTGTTACTGGTTTGGGGACAACCCAAAATTTAGAATTTCATTTCATTTCCACTTTTGATATTAACAGTGCATAACAAATAGGATGAATCTCCCTAAAAGGGGCACAGACAGTAATAAAAACCTGACAGGTGTTCTAATCCCTCTAGACACTGTCGAAAACTAAAACAAGTCTGTTTCAGAGGCACATTGCCAGTCAATAAAAATGTTTATGGGAAAGAAAAATGCTGCAAGTAAGCAGTTTAAAATCTCTGTTTTTTTTCCTGTGCTTTAAAGTGTTACTAAACCCACAGCAGTAAAATCAGTCTGTATATGCAGTAAAGCATTCTTGTTATATTCACTGTGAAACCTAAGGGGTTAACCCTCTGCATTGTGTAAAACTGCTGTTTGATCCGTTCTTCTCTGATCCTCCCCTTCTTCCACAGTTCTCAATCCATCTGCTGAAAGTACAGAGCTCTAGGAGGCACTCTGCACATGCTCAGTTTGGTGTGTATTGCTAGATAGTTTTTTTTTTTTTATTGTAGAGGGTGCATGTGATCGGCACAGGCCCTGTCAGCACTGTCTAGACAGACAGCCTCCTAGAACAGTCAGAGGAAAATGGAAACTCCTCCTACAAGTTTAAGGCAGTGCTTGGCCAGACACTTGCAAAAAGTTACAAGACTGCTATATACTGCTGATGAGAAAAGGTATTTAGCAGTTTATATTTACTAAAATAATTGCATTTCCATGTTCTGTGTACTGTGGGAGACCAGATATAGTGAATGCAGGGTCCTGGGTTTAGTAACACTTTAAGGATTCATTCACATAGCCGATCAAAGCTGTATACCTCCAAGAATCAGAATACTTCCATGGCAGGGTCATAGGTGTTTGCAATCAGCCACAACCAGAAAGATGTACAAATCGATGGCAGAGATATCAATGGTGTTACATGCAATTAGAGACAGATAAGTGGCCCAGATGGAAACTGTGTTCAGGACTACTCATCTGTCCCTAATCACATTTACTATCCTGGATGTCCATTTACAAGTAAACAGCTGCAGCGCCTTTCAGCCTGTCACTAATTTGCACAGGCTTCCAAGGTTGATTGCAAACACGTATAAATACCCATCACATAAAAACACTGATTATTGGCTGTGTATGGCCTTGATCAGCTTTGTGAAGAGGTCTTACATGCAATTTTTTAGTTTGTGACAGGTTCTCTTTATTGTTTTTTTTTTTCAATGGGACCCCATCACACACAGCTATGACCCTGCTGAACATGTAAACTACATCTTTCTATATTCCTTATCAAAACATATACATCGCCCTAACACTGTCGCACTCTAAATCTCCATACAAGGTTAATTTATAGAAAAAGGCAATGCCATCATTTTACTTAATGCCATTTAAAAATACTGTATAAACCTTGGAAGAGTATGCAGATTTCTGCTGCACTGTAATAAAAATAATTGAATAACAATTGTTTTAACCAGTCATAAAGCAAAGTTTAAAAAAAAAATAATAGTGTAATTCTAGGGGAATCCCACCTTAACAACACTAACTTCCTGAGAATCAAGAAAAACGTAAGCTAACAAGTCCTTGGTGGCACACTAGTTGCATAGGCAATACTATATTTCTGTCTGCAATAGTTGTACAGCACGGGTGCTCAATCCTTTGAAGAGTGAGGGCCACTTAAGTGATTTGGTAACCAGTCTTGGGGCATAATGAACTATGAGGTTTTACCACCCCCCCAAACCACAAATGTAAATGAGCACTTACTGTCCTGAGTCCCCTATAAGGCTGCTTTCACACTGATGCACCGCGGGTGCAGCACACAGGGCCATCTTTAACCACCTTCCGCCCGCCATATAGTACAATGACGGGCGCAAGGTGGTTCTCTCGTTCTGACAGGACGTCATATGACGTCCTTCCATTCTCACTGCGCATGCGATCGCCGGTGCGCTGTGTCCCTCAGACACAGCGGATCACGGAAAGAGCCGAAGATGTCGGCTCGGTCATGTGATCAGCTGTGTCCAAACACGGAAATGCCGGTTAGCGGCATTTCTCTCCTCTCAAGCTGTCACGCTGACAGCTCAAGAGGTGAGGAGAGCCAGTAATCGGCTTTCCGCGCAGGGGATATGTACACTGATCATCAGGGCACTGATGATCAGTGTGCCCTGATGATCAGTGTGCCCCAGAAGTGCCACCTGTCAGTGTCCATCAGTGCCAGCAGTCAGTGCTCATCAGTGCCACGTGCCAGTGCCCATCAGTGCCACATCAATGCCACATATCAGTGCATACCAGTGCACATCAATGCCACATATCAGTGCCCATCTGAGCTGCCTTTCAATGTCACCCATCAGTGCCAGTCAGTGCCACCTATCAATGCCAATCAGTGCCACCTATCAGTGCCGCCAATCAGTGCCACCTATCAGTGCCAGTCAGTGTCGCCTATCAGTGCGCATCAGTGCCACCTAACAGTGCCAGTCAGTGCTGCCTATCAGTGCCAGTCAGCGCTGCCTATCAGTGTCATATATCAGTGTCATGTATCAGTGCTGCCTTTCAGTGCCCATCAGTGATGCCTGTCAATGCCCATCAGTGCAACCTACCAGTGCCTCCTCATCAGTGCTCATCAGTGCCACCTATCAGTGTCCATCAGTGCAGCCTATCAGTGCCCATCACTGCAGCCTCATTAGCGCACATCAGTGAAGGAGAGAAATCACTTATTTACAAAATTGTATAACAAAAACTAAGAAAAAACTGTTTTTTTTTCAAAATTTTCTGTGGTTTTTGGTTTGTTTAAGAAAAAATAAAAATCCCAGAGGTGATTAAATACCACCAAAAGAAAGCTCTATCTGTCTCAAAAAAAATGATAAAAATTTCATATGGGTACAGTGTTGCATGACCGCGCAATTGTCATTCAAAGTGTGACAGCGCTGAAAGCTGGAAATTGGCCTGGGCAGGCAGGGGGTATAAGTGCCCTGTAGGCTAGTGGTTAATATTGATTGGATCCTGGACAAACGTTTTCTTGGGACCCACCAACTCCCTCCCCTTGCTTGCATGCAATTTCACTCTCCATGTGCTCTAATACAATAAATAGCAGCTAGACTCAAAATCAGTTTACTGCAGCAGATCAGGCAGCGATTGTGATCGCTTGCCAAGTGTTACACCACATCATTACAGCTCATTGACTGGTTGCTAGAGGTTACAGCACACATTACGGCTCACTGATAACTTGCTAGAGGTTACAACACATCATTTCTGCTTGTTGATTGGTTGCTAGAGTTTACTGCACATCATTGCATCTCACCCATTGGTTGCTAGGGCTGAGGGGGGAGGGTGTGATCAGTGGCAGTGCTGGGGGTGGGGAGAATGGGATGTGTGGCAGTGCCGGGGGAGTGGGATCGATAGCAATGCTGGGGAAGGGTATAATCAGTGGCAGTGCTGAGGGGTTGATGGGATGAGTGGTAGGGCGGGGGGGGTAAGAGAGAGGGGGAGTGAGAAAGATAGGGGGGATCAGAGAGAGGGGGGATGAGAGAGAGAAAGGGGGGATAATAGAGAGGGAGTGGGGGTGAGAGAGGGGGGAGGGAGAAGGTGAAGGGAGAGAGTGGAAGTGAGAAAGAGAGAGGGGAGGATGAGAAAGAGAGAAGGGTGAGAGAGAGAGAGAGAAGGGGCGAGAGAGGGGGGTGTGAGAGAAAGTAGGGAGAGGGGGTGGGGGGGTGACAGAGAGGGGTAGTGATAAATAGAGAGGGATGAAAGAGGGGGGATGAGAGAGAGGGGAGATGAGAGAGAAGTGGTGGATAGAGGGGTGAGAGGGGGAAGAGAGAGAGCGTGAGAGGGATGAGAGAGAGGGACTGCGAGGAGAGGGTAAGAGGGAGGAGAGAGAAGGGGATGGCAGAGGGAGGGTGGGAGAGAGAGGGGGGATTTAGAAAGAAAAGGGGGTGAGAGAGGGGGTTGGAGAGAGAGGATGAGGGAGCAAGGGGGAGTGAGAGAGAGAGAGGGGGGGTGAGAAAGAGACCCCTAGCCCTGCCCCTGTCTGCAGTCCCTCCTGCCCCAGTTCCAGTCTGTGGGTTGGTGAGTGTGATACTTAGTACCTACCTCCCGCCCATCCTCATCCTCTGTACAGGGCCCCTGGTTAGCCTATCCTCCTGTTGATGTTGGAGCTGGGAGTGGAGAGAAGATAAAATAAGTCCAGTCTTTGGGAGGTGTCGGGGATGCTATGCCCGCTTCTGCTCACCTCAGTCAGGAATTTGGTGGAGGTCTTCTCTCTCCTGGGCTTTCAGTCCTAGCCACCCTCAATCTGCTTGCCTTCCCCGTGTTCTCTATCTCCGGGGCCGCCTGCTCACCTTGTGGAGCAAGGCGCAATCATCCTGCCTGCACTCCGAGGACACCACGGTCGGCACCAGATTTAGTTAAGCTGCCCTGCTTCCCGTCGCCACCAGACTCATGTCATGGGGCTTAAGGGGCAATTGCTTTGAGCCCTACAATAATGACTGGGCCTAGAGCAGGCCTAGAGCAGCTGCCCCTTTTTCCCCGTGTTAAAGACCGCCCTGGCAGCACAGTGTACCTGCGTCTTTCCTGCGGGTTAGCTGCACTGAGCCATAGTCTTCTATTTGCGGGTGTAGTGCACTTTCTGAAAGCGTACCCAACCCACAGGAAATAATAGAGGTCTTTGGCTAAGTGCAGCTAACCTGCAAAAAAGTCTAATTGAAAGGACCTAATAACTCTTTATAAGTGCTAATATTGCAGCATTGCAAAAGCGCAGGGTATGTGATGTTTAATACACTAATCTTTTCCTCTTCCAGCTTCTGTTGGCATCACTCTTCAGGCTGCTAGAAAGGTCCAAGGGGAAGTGCACTTGGTGTCACTGGGACAGGAGCCGGCGCTACAGAGGAAGCATCGGGTCATGCAGCTCCTGCTCTCTCCATGCCCACTTGCTTCCTCTGCTGCCGGCTCCATGCACTCTGGTTTTTTACACTATTGGAGCTATTTTATGAAATCCCTGATCATGGTGAGAGGAAGGAGTGGTGGTACCTTGGATGCAGGGGCGGACTGACAACTAATGGGGCCCCCGGGCAATAGGGGATCATGGGGCCCCTGTGTCCTTGCCCAAACTCAAAAAAGCCTATTAAAAAGGTACCAGGAACATCTCATGGGGCCCCCTACTGACCCTGGGACCTCGGGCAGTGCCCAAGTTTCCAAATGGTCAGTCCGCCCCTGCTTGGATGATTAACCCCTTGGGGGAAAGCGCTGACTGACCTTCTCTAGCAGGGGGCCTATTCTGTGTCTGGTGAGTTTTCGCATGTGGTGGTGGTTCACTGTTGAACAAGAGAGCACTTTTTGAAAGACACTTTATGATTAACAGCATTTGGTTTGCACAGTCTGCACGGAGCACTTTTTGAACTGTATTGCACAAGATAAAGGATAGCTGCAAGCAGCACTTGAAGGATGTTATTAATGAATGGACGCTTTTATTTAAAGTTGCATTACATAGGATATTATACAGTATATTAATAATTTAATAATTCAGCATTTTGTACAATTGTTGGTTTAAAGCACTGTGATTAAGGACAACATTTTACAGCACGACAATACTGGATTCGCTGGGTGGGTGGGAGAGTACGTCTTGAAGATAACCCAAGAAAAAAAAAATTACAAATGGAGGAAGGTGAAGTTCCTCTTTAGCACAAATATCAAATCATGCAGACATTGTGGAAGAGGTTCAGTTTTTTCAACCAAACTTTAGAATGAAGAAGATATTTAGTGCTATTGTTATTCTCCTGTGGTGTGCTTGGCTGGCACAAGCGGAGTGCATTATGGGCCCGTTGGTGCTGCTCTGCCCAGTGTAGGATGGCAGCAGTGCCAGCAGGCCAATGGGACTACAGGCTAAAATAAATAAATGCTAAATAAATGAATAACACCAACAATCATTTGGAAGATAACTTGGCCGAAGCATTTATTATTGGTTTTAACAATACATTTTTATTCACATGCATATGAATATTTCAAATAACAAAATACTTTACTTAAAATTTTCTTACTTAACAGAATGGCTTACGACTCAAACCATGTATCTTTTTTATTGCAATCATAAAGTGTTACTAAACCCACAACAGTAAAATCAGTCTGTATATGCAGTAAAGCATGCTTGTTATACTCACTGTGGAACCAAAGGGTTAATCCTCTGCATTGTGTAAAAAGGCTGTTTGATCCTGACTTTTCTGACCCTCCCCTTCTTCCACTCTCATCCTTTTATCTCCTGAAAGGACACATCATGAACATGCTCAGTTTGGTGTGTATGGCTAGAGAAGTTTTTTTTTTTTTTCTTGAGAGAGTGCATGTGATCAGCACTGTCCAGATAGAGGTCAGGGGTTCTGCATCCACTTAAAGCAGAGAGAAAACTCCTTCTACAAGCTTTAACATGTGCTCAGCTGGACACTGATAGAAGTCACAAGACTGCTCTAACTGCTGATGAGAAAAGGTATTTAGCGTTTTATATTTACTAAAATAATTTCATTTCCATGCTCTGTGTACTGTGGGAGACCAGATATAGTGAATGTAGGGTCCTGGGTTCAGTAACACTTTAATAACCATCCCAAAAGACAGTTGGCTAAAGCCACCTGTCATCAAACAACTCGCACTGTGGACAACTCTATGCAGGTAGCAAGGTTAGCATTAAAAATATCTAAACCTGTGCCGAAAGGAAAAACCATTGATATGTAACATATATTTTTGAATAGCCCTATTTAACCATTTTCTAATTTTCTCAAGGACCTGAGATAGGGCATTTCAAGCCATCCTAATCTCAGGACAATCTCAGAGAAGACAATCACTGTTTCTGGAAATAATAAATAAAAACGATGAATGTCTTCTTGAATATAAAAGAGTCCAACGTTTCTCCTGCCCGATATAATTTCCCCCAAGATGGAGGATCAAAATATTCAGTACAGGCCAACACTGACATAGTCTTCCAATTTCAAAATTTTAAATCTGACCAAACCATTCCTCATCTACTGCTCCAATAAACTGTGAAAACTCCTGAATCCAGTCCTAAATTTTCAGAATACACCCTGATAGAAGCACGTTTATGTGCCCAATGGACGAAGGAATGACTTATAATCCATACTTTGCTTCTACCTAAAATAAGTCAAAGAAAAATATTAGGATGTATATATAGTCTAAAGCAATCAATCTGCCTACTTTTTTAATCATTTTGTCATCTAAACCTAGTCTGGATGCCTCCGTGGCAGCCCCTATCCTAAAGGAATGGGTAGATAAACGCAGGTTATCTAGATGTAAATGCTGCTGACATTTTTTTTTAGAACACTAGCATACTGAAATTTCATGCGTAGGCTACCATCAATGTGTATGAAAAAATTATCTCGACCAGCTGCATGCAGCGGACAAATAGGGGATTGCAGAG